CGACGAACTGATAACCTCCTCCTTTTTTGGAAGTCGGTTAAAAAGAAGATATTAAGTGGCTGCTTTAAGACAGAATAAGAGTAATCACTGTACGTATATTCCGGAAATTTGCAACAAATACCATATTTTCAACCGACATTATTATTAAATTAATGTCTTAAAGCAGCCACTTAATATCTTCTTTTTTATGTGCACAGATTTAGTAAACAAACTTTTTTTAATAAAGCGTGAACTGTTGTCTACAAGTGTGTATAAAAGGTTTTCGATTCGATTCACGCGTTTGGGCACAGCAATCCAAAATCGTTGTACAAATTCATAAACAGTACCCAATTGTTTTACCATCATTTCGTATTTGTCGAGCTTGGCTTTCGTGTTTAAACAATTTTGAACTTAACTTTCGAAACTTTTTCCAATTTCGAGTACGCGGACTTAAATCAATCGATGCGTTTTAGAGCTAATAACAGTAATCCGTAAGCGGAAGTAAACCTTTTTAATCCATTCGAAAGTTCTTTGCAAAAACCCCTTTTAATGAATTTCACGCAGACCGCCTACCCAGAAAGCTCTGCGCAAAAATACTTCCGCCCCTCTTCACCGGCAACACAGAAAGCAGAATTTTACATAGTAAGGGTTATAATTACTAAGCGCGGCTGAAGGCCGTAAACGGAGAAAGGAGTTGTTCGTACGGCAACAGCCTCCTGTAAAATTCAGTAAAATTTCTGCAAAACGTTAAGTACCTGGAACAGATATTACTGGCGTAAATGCGCGTCCATTGATACCCCTCTTGACATTTTTAGGTACACTTTGGGCATGTTCCGGGCACCCCTATTTGTTGAAATAAAATATGTAAATATTACCAAGCAGCTTGATAATTAAGCACCGGCATTTCAGAAAAAAATGAAAAATTTAGTTCTAACCTGTATTTGTCCAATTAATCGGCGAGTTGGAATCACAGATGCAATACAAAGTTGAGTCGTAATGTAGCTTGTAGAAGTTGCAGGAAATAACCATCACGGTATACAAATAAACGAAAAATATTCCGACTCGAAAAATATCCTAGCAAAATGTTTGTAGAGATGGAAACTATACATCGATGTTAATTCAGAAACATCGATTTTTTTTCTTAATTGGCCGCCTTCACCTGCTTGAAATTCTCAATTATACGGCGTTTATATGAGCCGATGTTACAGGCAATTTTAGAGCCCTTTTCCACCAAGGGCTTAACCGCAGTTAAAACGGCGACCACGCCAACCGAATCACGTGGTTCGCTCTCTCAACCTGTTTACACGCCACATTCGTGATTCACTTTGCAACTCTGCTTCTTGTTCTTTGCTTTTGCTTAATGTTTAATGAGCATTTCAAAAAAATTGCAGTGGTTAATTAGCTAAATCAATAGTTTTAATGAATCTAGCTATTTTTTCAATGTTAGTGCTGGTGGGAATGTGTGTAGTCTATGAGTTTTGACAACCGTTATCGATAAAAATTAGAGAAGATAACGATTTGTTCTTGATTCGCTTGTTGATTGGATCTGAATCACCTACGAATGAAGTGATTCGCTCTTAAAATTTTGTATGGCGAATTTCGTGATTCGGTTCATAATTGGGGCGTGAATCACGAATGAGAGAGCGAATTACGAATGGGAGAGCGAACCACTTGGCGTGGAAACATCGTTTAAGAGTTCAGACTCCCTTCGAGTTGTAATCTCCTTTTTCCAATAGCCATAAACTGTACTTAAACATTGGTGGAAATGAACTATTAGAGGCGATAAGTTGAATAAAAAGCTGGCTGCGATTAGCTGATTGGCTGATCAGATCACATCAGGCGATTGTGGCCTTTAGCAAGAAGTAGCCTAAAATACCATGTTCGGACCGACATCGAAAATGTGTTTTCGTTGCTATAACTGGTTTTCGACCTAAAACTTGTGTTTTCGTCCACGTAAAATCTGTCATACGAAAACGATTGGGGAGCCCACAATCCCAAAACTCGTTTTCGTTGTCGGTACGAACATGGTATTAAATCGCCTATTGTAAACACCGTATTACTCTGCAGTTACACGGTCAAGAACTTGCTTTCACACATATTCCTTGTCAAAATCCATTTGAATTGACAGCTGTGACATTGGTTGCACGTAACTTGATAGCTTGTTTCACTTTAAAGATATCGCCGCCAGGTAACCAACTTAAAATTCTCGCCTCGTTTCCGTACTTAATTTATACTGCCTTCAGTAATCCAGACTATTTCTGACAACATACTGTAGCACAACAACAGACTGTAAGCAGCTGTTTGACTTGATTATCAAATTGCCTCACTACTTGAAGTGAAAAAGCGATACATTGTTTTTAAAATGGGTTTTACCACCCGTCTTCTCGTGCTCGAAAATGGACTTCGCCGACCTAACGGTTAGACTGTAGCTGGGTATTCGATGCGAACCAATTTCGACGGTGAATAACATAAGTGGGCCTGGCTACGCCCATTTTCAAAAAATGTATCATCTTATTTTTCGTCCAAAAATCGTTGTAAATATCAATTTTGAGTGAATAAGCTTCAGTAGTTACTAAAATATCGCAGTTTTCGTATCTCTAAAAACTGTTGATGTATTTTCAATCTTTATACACTTAAAATAAAATTTGTGAAATCAAAATTCAATTTATTTTTGAGAGCAAATTTAATTGGTGAGAATTTTAATTACATGGATTTTTTCCGTGTTTGGTTGAATATTTCTCGGATTTGTGTGTATGCCGAGTACTGATTTGTTCTTCAGCGGCACGTAAAAAAATAAAGCTGACTTATCCTGCTACAGCAAAATATTAATTTTTATACTTATGAATGAAATTAGAAAACTAATAAATAAAAAATTTTAGTTTTATTAACTAACTTATGCACATATACTCGTTAATTACTATCAGAACTTAAAAATTAAAATTAAAGGGCTTGCAAATTCTCCAACTTCTAAGGATTGAATCTTGGCAAAGATTATAAACTTACGATATTTTTATAATATTCAAAATATCGCTAGCTTAGAGTGAAGATTTTCTGGAGTTAACTTTTTATGAAAACTCCTATTTTGATACAGGAGGGCAGAGAAATTAAAAATGCATTGTTTCGAAAAAAAGTTGTCTCCTGCAAATCTATTAATATGGGACTTAGAAACTTTTGACTCTAATGCCGAATTCGCACTAGGAATTGAAATGACAAAAGATGTATGCCATTTAAAAAAAATGCTATGTGGAAATGAACTTAATGACTATTTTTTAATGTAATGACACGATTTTTTTTAATGCCCGACTTTTTCATTTGTCATTTTTGCCATTTAATGCCTAGTGGAAATCCAGCATAAGCTAGCGATATGTGTTTTTGGGTTTATGTGCTTACATACTACATATGTATTTCTAAATACCTTTTTAAAAATCGGCCCTATCGCGACATTCACATGAACAAATATTCCCACAAATTATAAAGCAAATCAAAAACAATTTTTTCCAATTTGTTTTCGTTTTGCATCTTAAATTATGGAAACGAGTTATTCACATGGAATTGCCGATAGGGCTGATTATTAATTAACAAGATTTTAAGTCAATTTCATATCTTTTTAATCTCTCATCGGCTTCCACGCGTAATGCAATTTCTACTTTTTTTAACTCAAATTCGTTTTGTAATGCTAATTTTTTCAGCTCAAAATCATTTCGCACTTTTTCTTTTTCTAATTCTAATTTTTCTCTTTCTATTTTAAGCTTTTCACTTTCCAATTCTATTTTTTCCCTTTCCAATGTTGAGTTCTGTTCTTTAATCAACTGCGAATTTTGCGATGGTTGCGCAGTCTCACGTGGACTCAATTTAAAATTTATTGAGCGCTGTGACATTGAAGGTTGTGGACTATCAGGCTCAAGCTTGATAAATTCCAAATTGTCGTCAATTAAACCGGTGCGATTGCTAGCGTCTGTATTTGGCGGAGTTGTTGTTGTTGTAGCTGCACAATTATCAGCGATGGTTTGTGTAGCTTCCATAATGCTCTGTGGCATTGTTTGAGTCTCCAGGGTGCTCCTGTTGACAATCGTTGTTGTAAAATCGGATGAGCTCTGCGATGTTGAATACTGTGGATCAGTAGCCTCATACTTCAGTACTAATTGAACGTCATTTGAATCGTTGGAACTACTATCGAAAGTACTTGTTTTCAGCTCAACGTCTTGAGCGGTATCATACACCACACTTGGTCTACCAATTTTGTTGTGGTTAAAAAGAACACCGAGCGTATCCCAAAAGGGCGATAACTTTTCAACATACTTCACGATATTACGCAATCTTTTGGAGTTGACCACCAATGTAGGGTCGATGCCTTTCTCTTTCCACTGTAAAGTCTCCAAGTACCATGCCCGTATGGCTTGCATCTTGTTTCGCAATGATGTCCAGGCAAAATTTTTTAGAATGGGCGCTTTGCTCTTGATTGTATTATAAAATATCTCTGATGTCGGTTTCTGAAAAGAAATACTATGTACATTAGACTGCATCACCAAAAAAGTTGCGGTTTTCCGCCAGGAATGCAAAATCTATAATATTTGAAGACGTCCACCAAAATATTACGGAAAAATATGAAGATGTACGTGAACTGGACTGATTTGAAAATTCCTTCAAAAATGTTTTTTTTTTATGAATAAAAATAATTTCCTAAAGAATTTTTTGAAAAAGAACCCCTCAGGTTACAAAACAGTTTAAGCTTAAAAAAATCTGCATACAAGTATTTAAAAATCTTTGCAACGGAATCGTAATAATGAAATTTTTGATGCCGTTTTTTAACATTTTTCAAATATTGGTTTAAGAAAACCTTGAATAACTGGGACACAACTATTCCGATTTAGACTTATGAGGTATCAGTGGAAAGGTATTTTCCCACTCTTTATTTCAGTGTGATCATTCCCGTCCCAATTTTTTTTAAAATACCAACACTTTTTAATTCTACTTGGTTTGAATGAAACTCGTTCATCCAACCATTCTCTTTCATACTTCGAATGAGTTTATTTGCGAAGAAATAAGAAGGGTGAGAAAATACCTTTCCAATGATACCTCACCAAGTCTAAATCGAAATAGTTCTGTTCCAGTTATTCAAGTTTTTCTTATACCAAACTTTGAAAAAATTGAAAATATAGCATCAAAAATCTCATTCTTACGATTCCGTTGATTTTTTTTGTGTGCAAATTTTCTATGCTCGGACTATTTTGTTATCGGAGAGGATTTTTTTTTGTAATTCTTTAAGAAACTTTTTTTTATTTAAAAAACCTCCATTTTATCTTAGATTATGTAAACTGAGTTTAAATTGAACAGCTGGCTGACATTTACTTTAAACCACCAGACTGGCCCTCATTGTAGTAGTTTTCAAATTGTATCATACCTTTACGGAGTAATCTACTGACCTCCATACAAAGCTGAATTTAGAACTGAGTTAAGGCCTTTCAACGTAAAGGTAACGATACATATGTAATTATAACAAAATGGGCTTAAATGTTGACTTTTATTTTTTTCGCTCAAAGATAATAATTATTATTGAGTTTTATTTTTTCACTTAAGAATAATGATTATAAAAAATTAAAGCTAAACCACCGCGATTTCTGACGTATTCTTTTCAGAGGTAGCCACATCCTAATAAAAAGAATAAGACCCAAAAGTTTCAGGACAAAAATTCAGGTATTTGCGCCTGTATGTATAGAACTCAACAATAATCATTATCACTGAGCGAAAAAATAAAAATTATAAAATAAGTATTATTTGTGATCGAGAATATATTCTTTAATTCTTTAAGTCTTTCTTTAAAATCATAAAAAAATTATTATTTGCTGATTTAAATTATTTTACTCATAATGATCACCGTCCCTGATATGGATATTGACGTAATTTTTTTGTGCACGTACCGACATGTACATATGTATCCACATTAGGGTGGTCCTTAAATGTACGAAGTAAATTTTTACATAAGATCTCCTAAGCCTCCACCACTACGTCAATGCTAGTAGAGGAATTTGTACTTTGCCCTGTGCGACACGCCTTCTCCGTCGCCAATCGGTACCAAAGTTTATATGTGATATCTGTGACAGTGGTATTGCCGATTCGAGAGGTTGAGACCCAAAAAAATTCTTCATTTGATTTTTAAGGACCCCCTAATGTGCATACATATGCATTAGCGTGGGCCGAAAATCCGCTTTTTTAGAAGTTTAGCAAAAATATGGTTCATCGTGCTCTAAAAACAATCTGTGTAAAAGATGACAATTTTTGCTCAATACCTTAAGACTGGTTTTACTATGTAATATTTTGACGCCAAAATTTGGCGACATATTTTGACACAACTGTATTTCCTTTATCCATACCTTTACCGATGATATTATGGGCCAAAAACTGGCAGATGGCCGTTTTCGCAGCGCGTGTACACGACAAAAGACCTTACCTGATCCAAATCAATCGATAAACCGCTTTTTGATCCCATTTGACAATGTGTTTTAACTTATTTGATGACAAATGCCACTGCATTTGACATAGTGAAAACCTGCCTTTAGGCTCGCCCAAGTCCATCAAAGTTCAATGTGCTCAAAAAACCAAAATTAATAAATACATTAGTTAATACATTTTGTTACTAAAATTGCAATTATCTCCCAAAGTATTAGTTCTACATAGTTTTGTATATGGAACTTTTTTTTAGAGAATCGAAGTAAGCNTATTCATGGAAGGGTGTATTTACCTCAAAGCACGCAGGTTGATCTTTCACTGTATCACATATTGTTTGCAGAAGCACTTGCGTTTGCTGATCAGTAAAATAGTATTTGCGTTCAGCCAGTTTGCTTTTGAGTTCTCGAAGTTGCTCCTTAGTTGCTAAAAAAGAAAATAATTATTTAAAATTTTATAAAACTACTAGCAGACCCGGCACATTCATCTGCTAAGATTATGGTTTGGTAGTCATCTGCCGCTTTAAATAACCTAACGAAAGTGTTATGTCCGTAAAGAAGTTCTTGGAATTCTCTAATTGTGCAGCATTTCATAGCACGGTTAATCGCAAAATTTAACAAATTTGAAGAAGTTTTTCCTCTCCACTCCCTGACGGCAACAATGATCCGGTTCTATAGTGAATCTGTCCCAGAAGCTGTATAGTATAGTTGGTGGCAATTTCAAGATGGATGCGTATCATTGTTAAAAAGCTTAAACGCATAAAATTGGAAAATTACATCCATTGGGCCAATAATAACACAGGAGAGCTCGATACACTCATTGGTGCAACAAGTCGATTTAATCTGACATTCAAGGCACCTTTTCTCACTTGGCGATTTTTAGTAATAACTCGACTCCAGCGCCACCTGGCAGCACTTTTTTGCAATAGTATTGCTCTTACCGTTACCAATACATATTAGCCAAATCGGATCATAAATAAGATTTTTAGTAAAAACTCAACTACAAAAAAAAAGGCTTTCAAAATATATATTAGTACAGATAATGTATTGTAATCGATTGGTAATAATTAGGGAAGACAAAAATATGCAAATGTATATTATGACACAAGATACATATCTTGGCGAAAAAGCATAAAAATGCATAAACATGATTATATCGGTAATAAGTTACTTAATTTTCGCATAATTTCATCTGACAATACCTTTTTGGAGATAGCCAGGGTTGCAGACAAGGTTTGTATAATTGACAAAAAGAAAAGGCTGACAAACAATTATTTTCTAGTAAACAATTTTAATATACCTTCTCGTGAAAATTTTTCGACAGTCGTTTTCGTTGAAAAATCCAATGAAAAGTTTTCGTTTGTAGCGCAAGCTATAGTAAATATTTCCAAATATGCTGCGAACTGAGCAGAGAGTTTTATTCTACATCTATTGTAACTTCTCAATATCAACAATAAAAATATTTTGTGTGAAGCAACACTTCAATAAAATGTTGCAATGTCACCCGCAGAATTGTCATTTTTTAAATTCTGTCCAAAAATGTCTTGTGGCGTAGAGCGCTCATTTTCAATACATATATGTATGTATGTACGAAAATTTTTTTATGCGATAATCGTAAAGTTTTCGTTATACATATACATACATTTTTGGGGCATATATCAAACCTATTTTTAATATTTTGGAGTAATTTGATGATCATATAATTAGTTTTTTTTCTTTTGCATTTTTTTGTCTTCCCTAGATAGTAATAAAAAATAAAAGATCTATATTCACAGATCAGTGCCGTATCAGCTCAGTATCATTGCCAATCAGCATCGATCAGTGA